TATTCTTTCTGTATAACAGAAGGTTATATATTCCTTCTGTTATATGTCTTCTTTGATGTTTGTGGCAGTTTGACCCTACCTGGATGCCAGGTGCCCACCAAAGTTGCTGCAGATCTTCATGAGCTGCTCCAGTGTGACTCCCTTTCCACAGGATGCAGTCCTTCAGGAACAGGCTGCTCCTGCATGGATCCCCTACTATTGTTGGCCAGGGGCTGTGTACAAATCACAAATGGGACAGGACTGCTGTGGAATGCGTCTCGAGCTGTTTATTTTTTAGCATCATTCTCATTACATGGTTATGACCGTGGGAAGATGTCAGCAGCTCACATCTTAGGCAGCAGATCAAGAACTTAATGTTACAACTTACTTTAAAAGCTTTTTGACCAATCACACAAAGCAAAAGCATATTGACAGTAGTTCTATCTAATCACTATAAATACACATACCTTTGGTTAAAACAATGCTTGCTTATTTCAAATACAATACTTATTTGTAAACCTTAAGATACAATACACAGAGCTCCATTATTAAGCTTAGAACTTCTTAATATCTCACTAGATACACTGTTTTGCAACTTTTAGGGAGTTATTATACCCAAGCATTAATACAGATACTATTGTCCTATTTGTCCTTTCTTTCTACTTCTTGTATAATTTTTCTGCTGACGAATCTTATAGCTACTGCTTAGCTCTAAATCGCCATCTTGCTGTCTCCAAGGCCTGCCTTTTGCAACGTGCCCAAAACCCTCTGATGTTAATGAATCCCACACCCTATGGGGTCACAAGTCCTGCCACCAAACTTGATCCAGCGTGGCTCCTCTCTCCCCAGGTCTGCAGGTCCCTGCCAGCTGCCTGCTCCAGCATGAGCTTCCTGTAGAGGTCACAGCCTCCTTTCAGGCATCCACCTGCTCCAGCCTGAGGTTCCTCCATGGGCTGCAGGGCACAGCTGCCTCACCATGATCTTCACCACAGGCTGCAGGGGAATACCTGCTCTGGTGCCTGGAGCACCTCCTGACCCTTTTTCTTCACTGACCTTAGTGTCTGCAGAGTTGTTTCTCTCACATAATCTCACTCCTCTCTGGCCACAATTACTTCTGTGGAATAGCTTTTCTTAAATTTCTTAAGGGAAGAGGTACTGCAACAATTGCTGATGGGTTCAGCCTTTGCCAGCATCCATCCTGGAGTTGGCTGGCACTGGCTCTGTTGGACATTGGGGAAGCTTCTAGAGGAGCCAGCCCTACAATGCTCCCCTGATACCAAAACCTTTTGGAATTGAATTGAACAATCTTGATCATTAACAAATTAGGCATTTTTCTCCTAATAGTAACTCAAAGGGAATAAATCTTAAACTGTATTTGTCCTGCTCATGGGTTTGCAAAATAAATAATCAAAAATAAGCTTACATGGAGTCATAAATTCTAGTCTATGCCAAAAAAAAATGAAGCTGGCACAAGGTGATTTTTAAAAGCTTTTTTCCTGAAAGACAAACAACTCCAGTCCAACCAATAAAACAACAATAAAAATAATGCCCTCTCAGACTCCTCAGTATCTCCTCAGAACTTGCATGCTAGCATTAGGCTCTTGGATCTGGCTCTGCTCTAGCTGTTTTCCAGAATTAGGCCTCTGTGTCTTTTACTGGTGTTGCTCTGGCCTCTCTTCTCTGCTGCCACGAATGCCAGGAGGCTGGCCAACCTAACTGGCCAACCTAACTCACCCTATCCTGTCCTCAAAGCTGCTCTGCTAGAATAAACATACCTGAGCTGCAGAGCATTCCCCTGGTCCCTCTTGTTTGCCAGTGACCTCCTGTTGAAAGAAAATAGGGTATTTTGTTCAAATAATAAAAAAATGAGATTTGGTCAACAGATTCTTTATTCTAGAACTGGTGAGCCCAACCTTGGGTTTTCTTTTAAATCTTCATTCCACAAATTAATGAGGTCTTATTCTGTTTAGTTTATGACTTAGGATGAGATCAGCCCTCCTTACTGCAAGCCTGTGTAAAATACAGCTTGCACAGTGCATTTCAAAATTACTCTGAACAGATGGTCATGTGGGTTATGTGAAAGTGTTAGTAGCAGCTCTAACACTGAAAAGCACTGGTTTGAATTTTAGTTCTCCCAAGGTGTTCAGTAGGACACTTAGTGGATTGATTTATGAAAGCTTTTTGTTCTTTTTATTATTAATAAAATCTCTGGTAGCCAATAATGATGGGGTTTTATTTGGGTGTTTGTAGGTTTTTTTAATTTTATTTTGAAGAGCTCAAATAGGACAGCTGAGAAATTTTGAAGAAACTGTGTATCAAACATATATGTAACCGGAAATCTGTTAGACAGAGACCCAGCAGATGTCTGCAGTTGCTTTCTGTATCTCCTCTCAAGTAGCAGCAGGATCCTAGTGAAAGTGAAAAGGCACTGATAGGGATACAGGTAACTCCTTTGCACTTCGTGGGAACCTTCTGCTGCTCTCATTTGAGAATAAAATTCCATTCTGTAAAGTTAGATCCTTACTTCATAAGCTTTTGTGGAAGTAATGAATCAAGTCAGATAGACACAATAAAGACACAACTAAAAAGTATTTAAATTGCCAGAGTGGCTTGTTGAAATTACACCACTTTCTATAAAAAATAATTTAAAGCGGTGAGCTGTGTTTTACATTGAGATCAACCAGGATGGTTTGCACAGTTAGTTATATCTTAGGGGTGGAGATCAGCAGCCCCCCAGCTGAGAGTGGGAAGAGTTCTTCTGACTTATCTCCCTGCTCAGACGAGGGAGGAGGATCTGAAGAGAGCTGTAAACACCTACACAAGTCTGTGAAGAGTCCAACTTTCTTTTAGCTGCCCCCAAGGTTTTAGGCATCAGCAGAACTGATCTTGGAGGCTTTGTTCCAGACTTCCTTGCTTCCAGCAGCCTTTGGGCAGCTGTTGTTACACTGAGTTAGTCCAAGGTCTGTGAGCCAAGCTGAGGCTTGGCTTAAACGCTGCTTTCTAACTTCTGTTGGGAGAAGCCACAAGTATCATGGCTAACAATGCCTGAGATAGTGAATGGCCTTTTATTTCATCCCTGCTTGGGGTAAAAGTGGCAGGCTTGATTAAAAAAAAAAAGTTATGCAGGAATCCTAGAACGGGACAGATACGTCTCATTGGGGGGGGGGGGGTGTAACAAAGTTTGGTCAAAGAGGAAGATGAGCTCTAGGTATTGCACAAATGCAAGCTAGTATAACAGTCACAGCACCTGATGAGGACTGCAAGGGTAATATAAATCTTAAAATAATTCTGCTTCTACTGGTCTTGTAAAAATGTAGGATACATGCTCTATGCTTTTGTGGAGAGATCATCTTGGTTTGCCAGCCATAGCATCCAGGTGTATCTTTTATAAATTCTGATGTTTGTCACTCTTACCTGCTTCGGGAGGAGCACTTTGTGGTATTCTCATGCATTTTTGCCAAACTGTTTTGTAACACTGTAATAAGGTCTAACACGACACGCACGGCATTCAGATGGAGCCGACGAGGAAGGAGCAGCATAGAGGGGCTGTTACTCCACGAATACAACGGGAGAGGTCTCACTAAGTTTTTCCCTACGGGTATCTCCCGTGCTGCTCCAGTGCCATCTACCGACAGGTTCATAGGCCGTCGCTCCTCATAGGAATGGACTTGTTTGCTTTAGTAAAACAATCTGCCACAATCCTTCCGATGTTAGAGAGTATTTCATTTCCTGCAGGCATTGTGGCAGGACCTTCCAAGTTGTGAACAGCAGCTGTGTTTGTAACTAGTAGAACAATCTCCTTTGGACTGCTTTATCATTCACAGAACAGTTTTATGACTTATTTTAGTATGCTTAATGTACATAAAGCAGGGAATTACTTATTTATTTAATCTTGACATATATGAAGAATCACCTCAATTTTGAAAAAGCATCTGGGGGAAAAATAACAGTTTGAAACTGGAAAACAGACTTAACAGTCCACCAGCAAGCAAGAGCGGTTATCCACTGCTAATTTGTTCTTGAGCTGTGACAGCAAATTGCTGAGCTTGTGCTATTTTAAATTCCCACATAGGCAGAAATGATCCCTGTTCTGGCAGACTCACTTCAGCAGTAGGCCCATGCTTGGCTGGACATAAGGATTTTCTGTATGCAGGGTTCAAACAGGTTAACAAGAAAAGATATAGGGGCCAGACCTCAGAAGGGGTGAGACCTGGGATTAGGCAAATCACAAAGCTGTGCTATAGTGTAGACATGATGCAAACAGAGGCCTTCAGGGACTGGATAATGCCTGGTACTCCTGGGTCTGGGGTTCCTGAATATCATCTTCCTTTTCTTGCTTACACTGTCATAATGGTAAGCCTAGTTACACAAGCATTTTGCAGCTGGAGCAGATTCCATCCTTTGGATTTTATAATCTATTCTTTAGAGTCTCCTCTTGTTTGATTCTTAATCTTTAATTGCACACATGAGTCATCTCTGGTAAAGTAAATACTTAATACAGTGGAAGAGCTGTTAACAGTAAATCTGTAAAGTAAAACTGTAACAGTGGTTTTACCACTCTGTTCCTTAAACTCATTCTCAGACAGTTTTCTTTTAATGGTCATTTAAAAAGATTTTTGTGCACATCATAGGTAAGGAGTTAAAACAACAAGCCCATAAGAACTGAACCTCTGATCAGCATGGTTCTGAGTCAGCAAAGCTTGTACCTGGCCAGCTGTGGAAAATGGATGTATATAGCACCAAAACCCAAAACTGCACACCAGCGCTTTTCCAGTGAGCTCTCTAGGATCCATGAATGGGACAGAATGGTTTCTACCCCTCCTGCAGGGAGCAGAGCAGATTAAATCCTGACAAAGAGCAGTCATGGTTACTTTTGTCTTGAAACTGTGTCAGTTAAACTTTTCCCCCTGACTTAATTCTGTTATTCAGTATTCACAAAAAAATAAGTATTTTCCCCCAGCCTAGTTTGTGCTCCTCATCACCTGAGCATCCCTCTTGGCTGGGGACTGGGTTAGGTCATACATCTCTTGCCCTCTGCATATTCTGGCTCTGCAGTGGGCCCATGTTCAGAGAAGAAAAAGTTCAGGGCTGGAGAGAAAACAAATACTGTAATCTGGAGAGTAACAAACTGCAGGTTTGTCAAGGGGCTAATCACTGCAACTTGAATTCAGACTACTGCTGTGAGCCTGTTCCTCTGTGGTCAGTGCAAAAGTTTACTCCTTTGACTTTGGTTCAGGACTTAAATGGGTAAATAATATCTCCCCTGCTTTTAAGTCAACCCATTTGTGTGAATGCAGGAAGACTGCATTGCACTTCCCTGTGTTACTTGTTATTTGCACTGCAGTTCTCTGACGCTTCTTGACCCTTCTAGCCTGCTGTTGCAGGGAAAAATCTTACCCACACATGCTAGTTTCTAGTGACTTACTGGATGCTTACTGATCCTGTAATGTTATTATTGCCATGGGCAGAGAGGGGACTGGGCACAAAAGCAGTATTTCAGAGACTGGAAATAGATGTTTCTGTACCACCTTACAATTTGCAGAATCTTGCTGGAGTGAACTGAACTACTGAAGAGGGGTTTGGAATGTTTTATTGAAAGAGGTATATCTGTGCTACAGAACCTGCATCAGGAACTTGAATATTTCCCTTTTCGGTCTCTTTTTTTAGATTCCAAGATGAACTTGGATGATTTCATCAGTATGAATCCGGAAGTGGGATGGGGCTCAGTGTTGTCCCTTTCAGACTTTGTGCATCGATTTGGCAGTCAGACTGATTACAGCTATTCCTTGGAAGGACAGTAAAGTGAACAAAGTTCTGGCTTGTTTTGCTGCTTTTACATTGTATTTATGGTTTACATTTCTGTACATGGAATAGGTATTTGGAAATATAGAACATCCAGACAGAAATATCATGAACTGAATAAAAACCTTTATTTTAATTATGTAAGAATGCACTTGGTTGTCAATGTCAAATCAAAGGCAGACATGCCATCATAAGCATATTGCTTTTCCAGCTACTGTGCTGAAACTGAAAAGAGCTGCAAAAAAAGCTTTTGGAAAAATATGTGTATAAAATACTGAATGTTGTAGCCTAAATTGCTACATGTTGTCACATTTTAAAAGTGAGATATGGTTTTCTTCATGTTGTGATTGCTGTCAATTATATGTAAACAGACAGTGCATCTCAGTTTCGCCACTAGCTTTACTGATTAGTCCTTATTTAGCAGAAATGTAAAGGGAAAATTGATTTAGTAGTTCAGTTGTGAACTCCCATGCACTATGTAAAACCAGGTAAGTATCCAGGTTTCTGTGCTGTAGCAGGGGAGAATTAAATCCTGCCATTTCAATGAAATGTTCTAGTGCTGACAGTTCCTGGAAGATGCAGCTGCTATTTTTGCTTCTCATGCTGGCTGTGCATTCTCCTCTGCTGCCATCTTCTTGCATTTGGTGTTTGTTTGGCCTTGTGGTAATTCTGACATAAAAGCAGGAAGTTTTGTTGAGGTGTTTTTTCTGCCTCTTGGTTCCTTGACCTGGTCTGCCATGAGGTCAGACAGCTGCTCCTGCTGGTGTAAGAAAATCAGCAGGGCCATATGGCTGGGGGGAAGGGAGTGAGAAAGCCTCCCCGTTCAGGGTTCTCTGCTGTGGAATATCCTTAGAGGTGATACGAAGCTGCATCCCTCCAGGGCATCCCAGGAAAGCCATCATGCTGACTGAGGATTTGGAGCAGTCTCACATTTCTTAGAAGACCGCCCTAAACATGGAATTGCAGAAACAGGCTAAAATAAGGTCTTTAATTCTTGGCTTTAGACCAAGAATTTTGGTCTACTTTATACCCTAATTTTTGTTCTACTTTATACCCTAGCACATAATGGACTCACAGACTGGTAGAAGAACATGGGTTAGAAGGGTTAAGCAGTTGCTGGTCCAGTCTCCTGTTCAAATGAGCTCAGACCAGGCTGCTCAGGGCTTTAGCCAGTCAGGCCTTGGAAACCTGCTGGGACTGAGACTACAATAAACATTTGTGATACATTTAATTCCTGTGAAGAAAAGCATAGTAAAGATTTTAAGTATTAAGGGATCATTTTGTTTGTAAGAAAAGAAAAATATCAAAACTTGTAAGGATCTTGTATGTGTTACATAGCTAAATTGTTATATACATAGGGTATCACTGTATCTCTCATCAGTTCTAGGGAATTTACTCAGTATATAAACAGCAGAGACAGCCAACTGAACAACTGTGGGATTGATTCACTGCATCCACACATCTCTTTCTGTATCATAAGGGCTGCTGAATATAGGAACTTAAACTTTCTATTGCCAGATGCAGCACAGTTTGTTGCCTGTGCAGACAGGCTGCTACTACACATATTCCTTGAGTGCCAGCATGGACTAGTTAGGAGGCTGTTTGTTGGGACAGTTGATCTGCAGTTTCTGTCACTCTGAATCAGCATCACCAGAAGAAACTGATATGAAGCTCGGGATTCCTGATAAGCTGGTGCACGAGCCCTCCCGAGAGGGGACAGCTGGATTTAACCAGATACTCCTGTGTAAAAGGTCTGATGTATCCATGTTTGGATGAAACAGCAGCTCTTTCTGCTTGATGCTGATGTAGCAGGCACACTCTGAGGGAATGAAGATGTTGGTACTTACTGGTTCTAGGTGATGTTAAGGCTGGTTGTGAGAGTACAGAGCAGCAGCAGTTTGCCTGCTCAGCTCCGTGTAGCTGCCCGTGGACTGCGTTAGACAGAGCAAAAGTGAGAATGTAAAGATCCACGTTTCAGACAAATGGGTTGTGTTAAGCATTTCTTACCCTTCAAGTGGTTGAGTCTCATAGACACAGAGTTCCTGTGCATTGCTCAACAGGCCCTTTAAGTTGTTACAGAACATGAGGTTCTCATCCCTCCCTACTTGAGTATGTCATTTGATTTAACCTCAGCTGGTTTCCGGTGCCTGAAATCTGTGACACACTCCCTTTAGTGGGGGTCAAGACACAAGAGTCTGCCTCGTTTAATCTAGTTTCAGCATCAAGACTGTTAAGAAGAATAGTCACAACTATTATTCAGAATATGCAAGTTTAAAAAAAAAATCAATGTGAAGAGTTAATCCTTTTCCTCTGTAATCAGTCTGAACAGGTGCTTAATTTTACATGTGTCTGGCTGGGTGTGTGTCATTATATCTTTTCTATAATTAGCCACCTTTGTGTGGCTCTTGTAAAAAGTTGTCGTTCCAGAGGGATCAGTAGAAGCCAGAGAATTATTTAATTCAGTGCTGAAGATGGTGGTAGTGTGGTGTTGTCTGTCTAGCCCATCAAGTCTGGGGGCATTTCATCACCTTTCAGGTGGGCATGGTATCAGAAGGAAAGAATTCAGGAATACTTCAAGTGCTCATTTAGGGCCCGAAATAAAAAGATAAGCTACTCACTTCACTGCATTTATGAGAAACCAGCTCTTTTCTGGTGCTGATTAGTCCTAGTGTCCCATCAGAAGGACTAAGTGACTTCCCTCCTCTTTTTGATCCTTTCTCCAGGTAAGCCTAGTCCTTATTATTTTGTGGAACTTGCTGTATTTAACCTCTGCTGTCAACCCATATTTGATACATGAGGTGGCCCCACCAGTGTGGTTTCCCCACTGAACACCACAGTAAGTTGCAGACAGAAAAGCAAAGTTTGTTGAGAGCCACTTTGCCATGTTCCTGCAGAAGTATAAGCAAAGAACTTCCACTGTAAATCTGATGGCAAGAAGGCAACTTTATTGCCAGACATCACTAATTGTCAGCTCTGTGACCAGTGATGTATTTAAACACCTGATTCAAACAAGTTCATACCACAGTCATGGGTACATGTGTGGGGTACATTGTATGGCAGAGCACAACTGCTGGTCCTCAGGTGCAGCTCCAGGCTGGCCAGTGCAGCCACCCAGCTGAAGTGGTGCAGAGGGACAGCCTCACTCCTTGATGGAGGGGAACTGGGCTCATGCCACTGAGAGGTGGGAAGTGATAAGAAAGCATTGATGGGTGGTTGTCTGGGGTGCACTGGCACAACAGGATCAGCCTGTGCTTACTTATACTCCATACTGTCTGTAGCCCTTGAGACTTTTAATCTTTACTGTGCTCAGATGCTTTCCCTCTGTGTCCAGGACAAAGATGTGCTCCTTGTGCACTTTCAGTACAATGATTTCCCATTCCCTTTCAGCCTTCTTTACTTTGTTCTTTTCCATAGTGATGTCTTTCTATTGTCCAGTAATTACAGTTTTTATGAGCTTAGAGCCCCTAAGTCGTGGGTTTTTGGACTAGGCAATCGTTGAGTAAGGCATTGAAGAAAGCAAAGAGAAACCCTCCTGCTCTCAGGTTAGTTACAATCCGATGGTCTTCCAACTTCTGTATTCTGTTGATCACTGGAAATTCTCCAAGCCTTTTATTTCTAGACATCATAGGGTGAGACTCTGATAGCCTCATAATGGGGGCTTATCCCATCTCACAGTGGTTCTTCCCATCTCCAGCAGGCTACTGCAGCAATAAGCTGCAGCATGAGATGGAACACCCACATCTGTCCTGCCTTTTTCTCTTCTATGCTGCTGCTTTTTATCTAGGAATATAGTTTATTTGATAAATAACGTCTTTTGTTCAGCTGTTTGTGGCTTTAGAAAAATAGACACTTTTGTCTGGCATGCATTTGTTTGGTCCATGCATTTTTGCAAACTTGTATGCAACCAGGTCTGTCCTGAGAAAATCCCATTTCTTGGTTGGCCAGCAGAGAGAGCAGTCAGCATTCAGTGGATGTGCAGGTTGGGACACGGACAGAAGTGGTTCCCTGCACATTCAGCCCTGCTGGTAGCTGTCACAGTTAGAAATGAGTCCTTCTGACAGCATTGCAGAGGTGATTTGTATCCTGCAAGGCTGTGGCTTAAGGCTGAGGTACTGCCCTCGACTGCCTGAGCCTGTAATGTCAGTGCAAGCTCATCCTGCATACCAGGGGCTCTATGACAGCATCATCACACCATGTGCCAGTTTGGGGGATCTGGTCAGCAGTCAGTTTCTACCAAAACAGAGCTGTGCTCAGGATGTCAGACCAATTGGTTTTCTATCAGTTTATATATAGATAGTTGGGGATGCTGCAATCTGATCAGGGTTATTCAGGAAGCAAAGGGGCAATGGGGTGCATTTGTATGAATCAAATTCCAGGATGAGAGCCTTGGTCAGGGCTTCTTGACATCTGTGGCCTTCTCTCCTCATACCCTCACTGTCCAGCCAGATACTCATGCATGCGCTGAAGCACTATTGCTCTCCAAGCTTCTACTATAAAATGGCCATCTCTGGTTGGTCATGTTTTCCTTTTTAGAATGAGTTTGATCCAAATTTTCTCAGTTTTCACATTTTTTCCCTTACCTTTTTAGGAAACAAGGGTTGTAGACTAAATAACTTGAGAAAACTGGGAGTAAGCAATGAGGTGTGAAAATACCACCATGTCCCTTCAGTAGTGCCAGTTACCTTGCACTGGGTGTCTTGCAGAACCATTACTGACACACTGTCCCTGACCCTGGTGGTGGCTGTGCCCCACACCTGGCATAAGCCACACTGCTGGAGGGGAGGACCTGCAGAGCATCACTTCACATGTCACCCAGCAGAGCAGATGGCTCTAGCTTTGGTGGGCTTGCCCTCCTACGACACTTTGGATTCTCAGGCTTACAGAATCTCATCTCCTCTCGAGGTGAAACCTGTGTCTCTTCAGGTAATTACCTTCTCAGAAATTTGAGGGAGAGAATGCTGGTGATTTTCTTCTGCCTTCTGGCTTCTTCCTTATGCAGGACTTGGCCCAGTTGAGGCCGAGGTTAATGAAGCACACCCAAGGAGGGAGTGTCTGGAGACATCTGCCCAAGTTGGTGCACATTTCCCTGTGGAGCTCACCTCTTTTCGTTTATGATCATGGAGTCAGAAGTGAAGCACTCTATACAAATGCAGCCTTTCAGCAAGTTAAATGGAGCTGCAGTAGTGGTTCTGGAAAATCTCTTCAGTTTGACCTAAGATAAACAAATATGGTTGTTTAAGTATCCTCAATGTTTCCTCATACTTGCAGTAGGAAATACCTTGGATACTGAGGGCAGTTAAAACAAATCTTTCTTAGTTATCTAAGACCTCTGGCAAGTCCATGAGTTTCTGAGCGAGCTAAGCCACTTCCTAGGCATGA